ATCCTCCTAAATCCAATAATCCCAATTACTTTAGCTCCAATTACTCTAAAATCAAGAACAAACTAATTCCAATAATTTTAATCACATACTAATTCCAATAATCCCAATATATATTTGGCAGAAATTAAACATAAAATTAGAATTGAACCTAATCAAATCACATTCAAATTGAACATAATTAACCAAATTCAAAGTGAACCTAATCAAACCAACAATGTGTGTAATTGTATGTGAGTGTGAGTGTGAGTGTGTGAGTTAGGGGGTGTTATGTGTGTTGTGTGTTTGAGAGAAAGAGGCATGTGAGAGAATATAAGTGTAAATTGCAAACAAAATGCTAATACATTAGTTAAAGGCATATTCACCTCAATTTTAAACTCTGAACTGTATTTAGGTAATCTTATATTGAGCAAAATCACACTAGAATATGACTAAGATGTTAAATCAAAAGCCATAGAATTTATCGAACACATCAAGCATTCACCAAGTTATGTTTTCTCCATTCGCATACCAAGCAATTTCATCTCCTCTTTGATATTTTCGTTCACTATCACCATAAAACACACCAAAAATCAATAGTGATAGACAAACAATAACAAAATTGTACAATAAAAACCAATAAAATGATTGGAAGAACCATAAAGAAACACACTCTATACAGGTCATTTAACTTCTATATACACTCATTTGTGTTGTTTAGACTCTCGACGTACCACTAATTCAACCAACCTAACAATCCACGCACACATACTTGCAATTGTGTCTAATTGTGAATCTGTGAATTTTGTCTTACCTCAATATCCAACTCTATGTATTTGTTACTCTATGTGAATGAAAGTCAACAAATATGCTACATATGCCTCCCAATAAAAAAATCTATTCGATCCAAGTAACAGAAATGAGTCAATAAACCAACAATAAGATCATAGTGAAAATCAACAATAAGAGGCGCAAATGTAATGCATTGAAAAGGAATCAAAAAAATGCATTTGCCGGTTTGCTTGAGTACCTAATCTAATTATAAAATTTGCATCACATCCAATCTAACATAATTACGAAATTCACATTAGATTGAATCTAAGCTAAACCAACATAAAATTGAAAAAATCAAAAAAAGTGTAAATCAATTAAAATTTAGTGAAAGAATCGATTAAAACCCAAGAGAAACATAATTTCAACATATGACACCCCAAAAAATAGGTACACAGGAAATTCATAATAATAATAATAATAAACAATGGTAGAGAACACAAAATTTCTCTCGGTCATTCCAGCAAACACTTGGTGTGTGGGTTTGTCTGTGAAGTCTGTATGGGTGAGTGGGTGTGGGTATGAGTATGGGTGTTTATTTCTGCTCTGTGTGTGTGTGTAAGCGATGTGTGTGATGTGCGTGAGTATCTGCTGGGTCTGTGTTGGGTGTGTGTGTTGGGTTTGTTTTTGTGTGTGTGCAATTTGTGTGTGGGTGAGTGTGGGTGATGAGTATGTATGTGTGTGTTGTGCGCTATGGGGGTGTGTGTGTGGAATGTGAATCTATGAAGTGTCTGTGATTCTAAAGTGAGAGAGAGAGAAGTGAGCCAGAGCATAGGGTGGGCAGAGAAGAAGTGGGGGTAAGATGGGGGGTTAGTGTGTGTTTGTGTGTGTGTGAGAGAGAGATAGAATAGGCATACCTGGGAGGGGTTAGTAGTGGTGGAGGTGGTGGTGGTGTTGCTGACGAAGTGGCAGTCGTGGTGGTAGTGTTGTTGGTGGTGTCGCTGGGCCGTAACAAAGAGAGCATTAAAGAGAGAGAGGCTAAGTGCTGATAGCAGCTGTGGTGGTGGTGTTGCTGATGAAGTGGCGGTGGTGGTGGTGCTGTTGGAGGTGTCGCTGGAGTGTAATAGAGAGAAAGAGAGAGAGAGAGAGAGAGAGAGGGGGGGGCAAGGAGTAACAGAGGGTGGGAAAAAAAGAAGAAAAAGTGATGCAGGGAAGGCGGCAGAAGATGGCTTGTCTGACAAATGAAGCGACTGAGTGGGTCAGTTTTTTGAAAAAAATTGCGGATGAAAAATGATAAATTTGGGGGAAAATGAGAGGTATATAAGTGGTTATTGGATGAATTGATTTGATATCTTTATATTTGTTTATAAAGTCGCTCTACATTATATTATAGATGCTAGTTAGGTAACCTTGTTTGTTTTTGATATGTTCTACTTTAAATGGAAATTAATTATTCCCTGTGCGCTTGTTTTATTTTTTAGGGGGTTCAAGGGATTAAGGGTGATTAATTTTTTCTCTAGATCAATGATTAAAATTTTATTTTGATGCATCATTTTCATCACCTAAAAAATGAAAAATATTTTAAAAATATTTTAAAAATATTTCAAAAAAGTTTTCAAAATTGGATGGAAATGGATAAAATATTTGTGAATTAAGTTATAAAACATACCAAATTTTGGGTGAATACAAAAACATCTTGAAATATTTTGAAATTTTAGTAGATACTTGTTAAAACAATTCGAAACACTTCGATATACTCCAGAACACCTCGAAAATTGACATTTTTATTCAATATCTGATTCATTTCGTACTCCAAGGAAATGGAAACATTTCAACTGTTTTGACTATTTCGAGACGAAATTTTGATCATTATTCTAGGTTTCCTTTTTTTTTGGAAAGAACAAAATGCAACAAAAATTTAAAAAGAAATTAAAATTTGGTTGAGCAGGGTGAGTTTAATTACTAATGTACTCTTTTGTAACTTTCTATTTTGACATTATTTGATTTCCCTCTTCTTTAAGTGTACGCAAAGTGAGGATGTGGATGTTTGTTCATATGATTTGCTTCTTATTTAGTAGAGTTGTAATTGACAATGATCCTTGTGACGGATAATGGAGGGGAAAGAAAATGCATCAAAAGATCAAAATTATTCGCATGCAATACACATTTTCATCGACTATATTTAATAGAAACATATGAGCCTCACCAAAAATTTGAGAGCAAGCAACCTAATAAAGGAATTATAGAAATAATTTCATTAGCTGTTCGTAATTATGTAGGGAATGCCAACAATAATCTAAATATAATTTTTTTTCAGTGAATTAACTTGAATATTGTCTATGATTTTGTAATTTTATCAAATGTTTTTACAAAATAATGACATTGCAAGATAATTTAATATGACACATGAGTATGTACATGCATGAACAAGAACATATCTGGTAAATATACATGTAGAACAAAAATAAAAAGAGCATTTACAACACTAGATTGCAGCTTAAAGCGGGGCTGCAAGAGGAGTAAATATTGGGTGTAACGGTGATATCACGTCATCATTAACATGTAGTGTCATCATTCAATAATAAACTTATACATGAGCAATGTAAATCCTTGAGTGGTTATTAAATGACATGATAGGATGATTACTATAATATGTCGAATACCTATTTATTTGTTATACTTTTATTGGATAGTGACATCATGTAACAATAATGGCTTGGTGTCATCGTAACACCTAATATTTTTTCCTACAAGAGGCACTTGGTAAAAATTTTACTCCGACATTATGACTTTTTGTAATTAGTAAAATTCAAACAGGTATGTTGAGAGTTGGAAAGAGTATTCTAGGATCATATTTACCAATATGTTGACTCAATTATGATTTGTTTTGAAACTCTTATTCAAAATATAAGTAAAACATAAGATAATATGTTTATTTGGATGTGATTATATATAATTCTCTATATTGAAAGCAAATCGGATAAGAGTTACAAAATTACAATGCAAGTAACATACCAACAAAGTTACACCCATCTCCCGTGTGTTTCGAAAATTATTGACACACAATTCAAATAACATTGGTCTATAAGCATTAAGTTGGATCATAACCCTCCTCATCGAGGTCCTAAACAATTCGCCTAGGAGTTATGTCATTCTCATGCTAAAACGTTAACTGACAACATATCGTTTTCATGAGAATCGAACCGTTAAGGTGAAAGAGACGTGTTCTTTACAAGTTTTTCACTATCCCGAGCAATTTTAAAAAGAATTCTTAAATAAAGATTGGTTTAAAAATAATTTTCAAATTTGTGTAATTTTAAAAACGTTAATTGGTCTGATCTTTTTAGGCTAAAAGACATGAGTTAGACTAACGTTTTAGCCTAAAAACATCATACTAGTTGACATCTTTTGGCTTAAACAGTGTCGTTCGAGAGCCCTTAAAAAGGTCCATATAATTTACGTTTTAATTAAAAATGTCAATTGTACTCACAGTTTTAAGTTAAATGTCACCGTCGTTTTTTCCCTCTTCTTTTCTTTCTCTTATTTTCCCTTCTTCCCCCATCTCTGAGCCCTTACATTTTCAGGCGATCGAAATCTCTACATCTGCACCCCCTATAGCAGACATTCAATCCGCAGCCTCACCATCTTATTTTCCCTTCATCAGCACCATCTGAAAGCCCTAGCCAACTGCCGCTATCAGTCACCCCCAATTCCAAAAACCCATACTCATACTTACCAAAAATCCCATACAAATCCCACAAATCTCCATCATTAGTATTCTTCCAAGAGCACAGAAGATTGGTTCCTCAGAAATTGACCGTTGTGGTTGTTAAAGCCTCGGCCCCAGAAATTCGAGCTCACACCCGAGAACGTCGATTTTGTACTAGAAGACGTTTGACCTTACCTGATCTTCGATGGTGGAAACATCAACGTTGTATCTGTTGAAAACGGTGTTATCTCCCTCAAGCTTCAAGGTATGTCTGTTTCTTTGGCTCTTCCTCCTTTGTACTCTTAATTGCATCAAATCGATTATTCCCTGAACCAAGAATTGATAGGTTTAATTTGGGTTTTTTCTTTCCTTCATTCACAATTACATATATGTCTTCACCCGTATATATCTTTATCCGGGTAATTGGTGAAGACGGTTCGTTGCACACACTCATTATACTGTTTCATCATGCTGAGGCATCACTGTTATTGGATGGATAACCAGGAGCATGTGGGAGCTGTCTTAGCACAACCACCACGTGAAGATGGGCATTGAAAGAGTACTGAAGGAAAAATTTGGGGATGCAGTAAAGGATATTCGCCAAGTATATGATGATGGCATTAGTGAGACAACTGTTGAGGTTAGTTTTCTACAAACATGAGCTGTTAAGGAAATGACAAACAATCTAAAGTGACTTTAGTTTGTTTGAGGGGTGATGATGATGGTAAAGTTCTGTACAACTGCAGGCAGTGAACAGTCATCTTGACATATTGAGACCAGCCATTAAGAACTATGGTGGAGGCGTGGAAATATTATCTGTTGAGAGTGGTGATTGCCGTGTAAAGTATGTTGGGCCTGAGTCTATTGGAACAGGAATTAAAGCAACAATCAAGAAGTTCCCAGACATTGTGAATGTTGTGTTTACTGGCTAGGGGAGATTCTCTGGCAATTCAAATGAGAAGGAGATTTTCATTTGACATATGATGAAGCTTGAAACCCAAAATTTTAGTACAATCACATTAAACGTATGCTGAAGTATATATATGTATGTTCTGAATCGCCAATGTAATCTTTGATTCCCTTTATTCAATAAATGATGTTACTTGATATAGTCTTTTGTGAGAGATCCATCTCAGAAGATTATAAACTTCTGAATGAAATGATCAAATTATATAAGCATTTGACGAGTAATTTGGATGACTTTCAACCTGCTGACTTTATGATATTCCAACTATTGGCCTTGAGTGTTTGCAAATGGTAGAACTTTGAACAACTCATGTAGAGGCTGCTACCACTATGGTCATTCTATTTATAATACATCATGTTGATAAACTCACAACTAGGTACATCGAGAATTCGTTTAACTTGACTCAATTTCATCAAACTTCCACTTGAGTTATTGAATCACTTTTGACATATTGGTCTAGGCAGACTTCCCATCAGCAGCCGCAGCAGTGATAACGTCTTTGAGCCAACTTGACAAATTAAACAAGAATGACGTGTAAATAAAATAATAGGTAATTGTCCAAGTGACAAATCCCTGCATGCAACAAAAAACACTCAGATTTCTCTGAAAAGACCCACAAATAGCTTCAAGATAGAGGTTTTTAGTGCTGTTTTTTTAAGTCACCTGGCCAAAGATCTCAATGTTAGCTTGGGGATAGTACCATAGATGGAAAAACCTGAATATGAAAATGAGAAACATCAACTGAAAACCCAATTTGAAAACAATTTAGGTTAAACATTTCACAAAATATATACTCAACAATAATCAACTCACTAATAATCAACTCAAAAAAAATCAACTCAATATTTCAATATTTGAAATCTATTCAATAATTCAACTCAACTCAATAACTCAGTAATCAACTCAATACCTCAATAATCAACTCAATACGCCAAATCCAAGCACCACCACCATTGAAAAGAATCAGCTCAAATGCTTATGTCATAGAACTTCCTCACTGTAAACAAAACAGCCTAGCAATCTGATCAATGCCCAAAACTGCATTCATAAGCACTTGGATGCTGCTGCATCATATAATCACTCTTTCTCACTAGCACCAAGGCTAAAATGTTACACCCGAATTAACTAATCACTCAAACAAACCCTATTTACAGGTGAAAGTATCCACAACACAATTATGGAATTTTTTTCAAATGGCCATCACAATGTAACAGTTTCTCACATAAAACATATTTGCGCAATTGCTTATCATCAAAAATTTCCACCAACAGTCAATAATCTCTTTTTTTTGAAAAAATCAAAACAAACCACCAAATCCTAATACAAATAGAGAGCACAACATTAAACAAAAATGAACTCATCAAATCACACAAAAACTATGAAACAACCAATCAAAGATCTAGCAAAGCAAACCCAATTGAACTTTATAGCTCATAACCCATTTCAGTTCACCCAAATTAAATCATCCATAAAAAGCTATGAACCCAAACAACAAAAAAACTAAATCAATATCAGATACTTCTCAAATAAAACCATAGAATCATAATCAAAATGAGGCCATCAAATTATAGCAGAAGTACCAATCAAATCCAAAAAAGTCCCTTAATACCCATCTCTAATTGTCACCAAAATTACCAAGTAAACTCAAACTAGGTCCAAGACAATACTCATAAAACGAGTACTTAAAGAACTATGACATATGAAATCAAACAGAATAGATAAAAATGGAGAACAAAACATACCCTTTAACCTCCTTAGAACCTCAGCTTGGAGAAAAACCTCCTTTTCTTGTCATAGGACTGAAGAACGTCGCCTGATGGTGCTTGGATTTGGGGCTTCGATGGTGGGTGGTGCTGCGATAGTGGTGGTGCTGCAGATTGGGGGTGACCGTTAGTGGCAGTTGGCTAGGGCTTTCAGATGGTGCTGATGAAGGGAAAATAAGATGGTGAGGTTGCTGATTCATCTGCTATGGGGGGTGCAGATCGCCTGAAAACGGTAGGGCTCAGAGATGGGAGAAGAAGGGAAAATAAGAGAAAGGAAAAAGAATAGAGAAATAACGATGGTCAGATTCAACTTAAAAACGTCAGTTGAACTGACGTTTTTAATTATTTTAAGGGTTGTGGAAGGCCATTGTTTAAGCTTAAACATGTCAATTGGTTTGACGTTTTTAGGCTAAAAACGTCAGTCCAACTAACTTCTTTTGCCCTAAAAACATCAGACCAACTATCGTTTTTAAAATTACATGGGTTTGGGAATTATTTTCAAACTAACGCTTATTTGTGAATTTTTTTTTCAAAACCACTTGGGATGGGTCAAAAAATATGTTCTTCACAATAGTAACCATAAAAGGTGCATATATGCATATAAATATTTAGTAGCAAAGGTATTTGATTAGTGGTATAATGTACAGAATAATCCCGGAAAGCCCAATAGACAATAGAATCAAGTGATGTTGGGATCACGTACATAAGACTGTCTATAGTGGGATCACGAAGAGCTAAGTGATAGACATACAATAACGAAGAGGTTTGCTTTTGATCTCGAACCCACATATAGGCACTTACAATATGAGCACTTGCACTTGTTCCAGGTTTGACCTCTACTTAGAATTCTTGGAACATAATCATTGATTTACAATATTTTTAAACTTTAACTAATCCAAAGCCCAACCATTGATTTACCTTTTAAAAACTCTTACGTCAACATAATTAATAAGTTATTGATGAAATCTAGGGTTTTCAAGTGATAGATGGCCATAAAAAGTTATCTATTATTGAATCAGAATTTCCAACCCTTATCATAGGAATTGTAAATAAGATACAAATGAATTCATTCCTTATCATTGCATACTCCTGCAAAATACTTTATCCCAGGCTTGTATAAACATGCTCGCTATGTCTAGTACTAAATCCTCTCCACCAGCAGGATGTAGTGTCACCACAATGAATCCTTATAGATTAACAGTCCCCCTTATCAAATTTTCAATTTCCTCTAGCAAATTTTGGTGGATTGAATAAGAACCTTGTTGTAGTTGTTGGGTGGCATTCACTACAATGGGTTGGAAAAATGGACTCAAGTTTAGCCTACTGTCAATCACTAAAAGTTATCGAATAGGTCGCTCACCAATAGATAAGTTCAGGAAAAATAAAATAGAGCTTCTATCATTTGTAATGATAGTGTTGCTCCAAAATCTCTTGGATCGACAGAAATATTCAATTGACATATAGTTTTTAGACGACTGTTTAGAATGAGTTCAATGCCTTGTTTCAAGACTTTCTTGCATAAAAAACAATAAAAAATCACACTTGTGCATAGGCAAAATGAAATAACAACGAACTAATAAAAGAGGATTTTTTTTATTAATTCAATCAAAGGGACTTTGGTTACAAAAGAATAAATAAAACAGCCTTAATTACAGCACTAACTACTCCTAAAACTAGTTTAAAAACTACTCCTAATAATGTCTAAATCATGGGTTTTTTGGGGTTTTGAAGGTGTCCTTTTTTCTCTCCTAAATACCCTTTTTATAACCATTGTCTTCGAGGGTTTTGCTATTTTCGATAGTTACTGACCGGTAACTCCTAGTTGGTTACTTCTTCCTTTTCAAATATAGTTGTGGCCGATCATTTTTTGCCTGTCTTAAGATTCTGCAACATGGCACTTCCTTAGTGCATCTAGGATGCCAGGTGTCAATACACCGAATATTCTCAATATTTTATATGCTGGGTCTAAACAATGTCTCCCTCATTCAATCGGGTTTAATTAGTAACCCGAATAAATGAACAATCATGACCATTGCTTCTCCAAACACCTATTTAAGGAATTGACAGTTGTGCTATTCATTTAAATTTGCTTCGTTGCTTCCTGCTTCCCATCTTCCTTTGCCTCTGCGATTCTTCTCTTCCATACTCGAAATGGCTCCAAAGAAACAAACCCTTCCATCTTCATCTTCATCTGACATTCCTTTCTCCCTAAGATTTTCTGTTGCAATCAAACAAATGTCTCATGACTTGGTAGCCCACGATATTTTGAATCCCACCCCTAATTTCAATGAAAATCTTGCTCTTGGTCCCTCCTTCAAATAATATGTTTGCAAGGGTTTCTCTGACTTCTATCCTGTTCATGAGGGAGAAACCCTAACACTGAACTAGATAGCTTTTATGGAAATCTTGGAACCAAGGAACTAACCTTTTTGCTCATGGATAAATCTTGATCAGCAGTAGGTTGATTGGCTTGAAGGTTAAAACCTCACTTCTATTCTCAATGGAGGCGCTCAGGTTTTTTAGTTGATTAAGCTTTTCACTTGTGAAATTCACATGAATCGGTGGCTAATTAGTGTTTCCACATGTTTTTGGTCTCAATCATGCAACATCATGTTTCTTCATATTGGCATGATATCTCTAAAAATTTTAGACATTGTACATTTAACGGGGCTTCCATCGACGGGTATGGAGGTAAATGCTTATATCTCCATTGATACTAGTCGTTCCTTCATTAATATTTCTTCAAATATAAAATATAATGATCTAATTAATCGTTTCTTTGCTTCCAAATCTCCTAAACCCTCGTTTGAAGAACGTATAGCCTTTTTACTTCATTGACTTTATCGATTTGTCTTCTATGTTCCTAGTTAAGGTAACCAAACAATACCTTGCAGTGACTATTCATCTAGCCAAAAAAAAAAAAAAGGAAGCTTGCCTTGACCCTTTTTGTTCTTGGGGAATTATATAGGGGCCTTTTCAATTTGATAGAAAACAGAATATATGTCACTTGTAGAGGCCCATTTTGGCTTTTTAGGCTTGACTCTATGCATATTTTTCCGAAATTTGGTATGTTGAGTCTTTATCTGATCTCAAGTATCAACTCTAGAACTTTGCACATCGATTCTTAACTTCTTTAGCCCCTTTTTCATAGAAAAATTTTGATCTTTATTTCAAATCTTTCTTCAATCTTAACAATGATAGA